GATGATAGGCTGCTCCATGTTCTTAGCAGAACAACTAATGTACACTCAACATGAACTGACACTACAAAAAGAGGACTTGTATAATCTTTTTTACTATTTTCAGGGGTCCTCTTTTTCCTGGCAGAGCCACAGTTTGAATTTTGACACCAGCTTTAATATAATGCTGGGGAGAAAAAATAAAATAAAATCACAGCTTAAACCCACCATTATAATGCTGCCTGCTGCTTTCAGTAAATGATACTTTTAACATGTCTGAACAGTTTTACAATCAATGTTTCCAGACTCGTGTGAATAAGAGCAGATAATGATTTGAAAGGGGGAAAAAACAAGAAGAGTTGTGCCTGAAAAGAAGCTATTTTTACTGCCTATAAGCCTTTTCTTCCATGAGAGGAGTTTAAACATTTCTCCTTTTTCCATTCTCTGATGTACAGACGTGGAACTGATAAGCTTCAAGTTACCTTAAAAAGCGAGAAATGAGCCTGAAGCCCAGCATAGCATTTCGAAAGGGACTGTGGACTAGTGACGTGCTTACTCAATTACTAGAGGTTAAATAAGATAGAAAGATAAAGCAAAAATATTCACATACCGATTTAGTTTCATTCCAAAATCTAACATGAAGCTGTGTTGATTTAAAGAATATATTTCAACCAACACTGTCACCTTCGTGTCATACCTTTATTAAAGCTCTTCGAATGAGTGTCCTTGAATCCCCTATAACCGTCCCCTAGTGCCCTCCTATTAAGTCGAGCATGAAATGTAGGCAGGACAGCGGAGGTCTGACTACATCACGACATAAGTAGCACTTTATCCATTAACTTGTCACCATAAGAGACAAATGACCTCACCGTCAAATATTAAGGGGATTAAGGAACATGTGCATGGACGATGAATAGCCCAATTAAGTTCCGCAAATATATCCCAAAATAATTTAAGCCCATGTCAGTGCCTCACTGTTTCCTATGCAGGACTTTCCATATGCACAGGATGGTCTCTACTGAGTCACATTGATTCCTGCGGTTATCAGGGATGGTGATCTGACAAAGTCCTGACCTTTATTCCATAATTGAAGATTGCTGCATTTAAAACCAGGATGAAGGGCATATTGGACAGAGTTTGCAAGTCGTAACCCAAAGTTCAGCCAGAACTTGCACAGGCCAAGAAATGTAACAAAGTTTCAGATAAATTTCTATTAGCTGTATATGTATTCAAGAATTAGCAATTAAATAGTAAACAAAGTCATATCTCACTGTTCAGGGAAGTGCAGAATACAAATTGTTAAATACAACAACTACTAATTATTTGGTAAATATAATCAGCATTAATCCTATTTGTTCAGCTTAATCTTGAGGCCATGGTTCTCAGTTGGAAAGAAGTGCACTACAACCTATGGGTCAAGAGTCTGTCTCTGCCTCATACAAGTGTAAATATTTTGATGTCAAGTTCGCAGCTGGTGGTAGAAAAGAGCAGGAGATGTTTAGATGGTTTAAGTTCTTCACTGCAGAAATGCTTGCAATGTTTTGTTCTGTCATAAAAAAAAACAAAATCCAACAAATAAAACAACTAGATCAGCTTCCTATTAGCTGAATTCAGCATAATGGGTGGATGGATTGATGGATGGATGGACTTGGCAGCATAAAGCACACATCAAAAATAAAGCCTTATTTTTTCCCATGTAATAACTCTCAGTGGCAGTATTTGGTAGGTGCCAACAAAGGCATGTCAAACCAATCTTTTTCAAGACTCTCCTACTCAGAAGTGTCAACAATCTGATAAAACTGAAGTCCAGTAACAGGGTCTGTATTCACACATTCAACAAGATATACAATTACTCTTGTTTGTTTTGTTTTATTTTTTAGTACACCATACATTGGAAGCATAGCAGCATTTCACTTCAACAGAACACTGAATGTTTTACAATAGTGCCAACATTATGCAGATCGATATATGAAACGCCATTTTGCTTCTGATGTGTGGTATCCCAAAAAGACCCTAAAAAATGGAACCATAGATTCAGAAAAGAAAAGTAAGGAAGACGGCGAAAAGGAGGAACTTCAAATCATTGTTTCCATTGGTCATCATCATCACTACCCAACGGCCATCAGTGCATAAACCCCTTTTTGAAGAAATTTGGATCATGTAAATCATAACATTTAATTTCACTCTTGGATTAATAAAGTAATTTTGAACTAAACTGAATTTGAAAATCCATCCAGAATTAAGCTGAAAGCGGCTATTTGGTATTCTAGCGATGACATTTCTGACTGAATGTGAAAAGGTTGAAAAAGTTTGTCTGTTTCAGAGTGAATCCATTGACCAAAACAAATTAGCAACATTACCGTTAATCATAATTCATTGAATGTGGACAATTACACTGCTAATCAAGATGGCTTACCATTTGCCTAAAAGCCTTCAATTGTACATTATTACAAAACGACCCAAATTGAAAACAAGAAAAATTCCATTAGGTCTTTGTACTGAGAGGAGAGCATCTTACATTTCCACACACTGAGTGCAACCCTGTGCTTTGTCCAAGCTTGACAGGCAGAATACCAAACAATGTGTGAGAGTCAGCACCAGCAACCAGACTATGTGATGTATTGCGCACAGACTTGGAACAATGCAGTCTGTTTTTACCTGGGGGGGCGATGTTTCTGGCACATCAATTTATTTCAGTGGCACTGTGTGACACCACCAATAGTGTTTGTTTTTTGGGCTATCTCTGAAGGCACCACCTATCATTGAGTAATGACTGCGGATACGTGAAACGTTTCCTCGGTCTACATAGGGTTTCTGGGACTCAATCTGATGTTACAGGCAATGTTTCTTCAAGAAAATTTTATCTTGTATCACGAACATTCCTTGGACATACGTACATCAGCAGATGACAGACTTTTGTTTCAGCACTTCAACTTTTTAAAGGCATTTTACTGAGATGCCAGATTGATTTTCGTTTGTTCTTTAAACTTGATCAGAAAACGGCTTTAAACAATGGTGCCCCTCCTCCACTGGTCAGCAAGCAAAAGGCACAACTTCTACATTTTTGCTTTCAAAAAAGACAAATTTGGTCAATTGGAAATGTGCGTGGTTGCATAAAACACAAGCATGGACATGAAAGAAGTGCATCCTATCTAGTGATTTTGAGTGCTGAGTATTGGACGATAAGCCAAGAGCATCAACAGTGAATTTCTCACAGGTATCTAGACACCTATGGTATTCAGAGATCTTTTTACTTGGTTTAATCAGGGCTGCCTCAAAACAGCAGGAGGTAACATTAAGTTCTTGCACTCCTAAGCTCTAAAATGAACTCCCTAAAACACTGAGTTGTGAGAAAAACCTTTACCCTTTATCTTGTAAAGCACTTTGAATTACTTGGTGAAGAAATGATACAATTAAATTTGCTTTACCTACATTTGAAACTGCAGATGCCCAATTAAGAGCTGAATGTCTGTAAAGTGGCACTTATGACCCAAGAAGATAGCATTATATCATCACATCTCCATTTTTAGACATTTTTGTTTCCTAGTGTAACTATTAATAACCCTGTTTCTGATGTGTCATTGCCACATTTCTGATTAAAATTATCAAACAGAGCATGTGACTTTGATTAATGTTCATTTTCTGAAAACATCAATTTTTCAAAGGTTTGAATCCAACAGAATGCTACATTTTAGCAGTTGTATGAAAAATAGTTGATTTTCTGTTTTAAAAAGAAACAATAATGCAAAACATTTTTTTGTGTCTAAATACCAGGAAACCTACATATTTTTACTCAAGGTTATCATACTGTGAGACTCTCATTTTGGCTTAAAGCTAGTTAGATGAATTCCACTTCATAATGTCAAAATATTTTACTGGGATTAATTAAGGTACCGCCAAGGTATATTTTTAACTCTCCGAGCCTTGGAACAAGTCGCCCCAAAGCACCAGAGCTCTGTTCTTCTCCTCCAGACTCATTTTGCCAGTCTACCAGGGAGTATTATGTTTTGCAACGGTTGACACTGAGTTGACACCGTGGCTCTGGGAGCCTTAGAAAGTCTGCTCGAGGCAGACTCCTTGTTTAGAGACCGAGGTCTGCCTGACATGTGTGACTCCTGAGGCAAGTGTGTCGTTAAATGGATAGAGACAAGGAGGATGGCATGACCCACTTCCATTAGCGCAATTGCAGACTGTTTTCCTCACATACTATCCCACAGGTATTCTGCTTTTGTGCTGACCGTGAACAATATTAAGGCAGGCAAAAGCCTAAACATTCCCAACATCCAAAGAATGGAAAGCTTAAAAGGAGAAGAGGAGGTGGATTGATTTGTAATGGATATTAAAGTGTATAGGTCAATCTATAAGCAGGTAGCAATTTCCTCTGTCGGGAAGATAGTCTGGCTGTTAATGCTAAAACTCCAGGTTAGATGTAAAGTGCCTAATTGACCTTTTTGTGATGTCATCCTGGTCAATAATATTGTAGCTACCAAGGAAGGAGCAATTTATTCTCATTTTGGTAGTTTCTCTGTTCCAATTGCAATATTTTCTGTTTTAATTTATCTGTCTTCATTTTCTCAGAAACCAGCTGGTTAAAGAGAAGGGGGTGATCGTCTAGTAGAGGCAGGTAAACCTGAACGCTCAGCATACTTTATCCAGACAGGCAGCTGATGCACATTTAGGGAAGGGAGAGCAGAAATACCCATTTTTATATGAACTCTGTGCGCCTGACGCGGTAAACATCCCTCTAGTAAAAATATGCGTGGATAAAGAAATGTTTTTATCCTTCTGACCGCATCAAAAGTGTCCTAGAAACACATGTAACCCCATTAACTAATGGGTCGTGAACGTGCGTACATATATTAACACAACGTCCATGCAGGGTGCTGCAAACCATATGGACCCACATGCCGTTTTGTGCATCTTAATTAAAATGCTAAGCACTTTTAATCTATCTTGCACACGGTCTCTTACTTCGACTCGAATAACGCAAAATGAGGTAATGACAGCTTCACTCTTCCACTCACCTTTCACACGGTGCGGGACAGCGGCGCTCAAACACAACACGATGAAAGGGAGTAGCGGTCCCATCCTCGCACAGCAACCAGGTGAGTCTTCCAAGGTTACAGGGATTGTGGTTAAAAAATAAAAAACAAAACAAAAAAAAAAACAACACACACACAAATCACACGATCAAAACTTCTCCTTCCTTCGCTCTCGCCAGGCTGCAGGGACAAACCTGGGAGATGCTGCTGTTGTATGTCCTTTCAAGGGAAAAGTACCTCCTAAGTGATAAAGTCGCCTCTGGGGTTGCGCGGAGCGGGAACAAGTGAACTGTGTTGGCTGCCTGCCGTCTGCTCCTCTGCTGATGCCACCCCGATCCTACCGCAGTGGTGAGATGTGGTGAAGAGAGCGACGTGTGCGCCCCGCGCTCCCGGACATCTGCCGTCAAGCCCTCGGGTGTCGCGAGAGTCGCTACTTCCGATCTGCATCTACAAAATAAAAGCCGATGAAGGAACATAATGCTAAATACTGTATCTAAAATCTGCAATGGAAATAAATAAATATTCCAACCTGGGTGTTTGAACCGTGCATTTTTGTTTTTTTGCTGTAATTCACAACAATATGGAGATGTTTCTTTGTTTGTTTGTTTGTTGTTTTTTTTTTTTTGTTTTTTCACAAATGGTGCTCTGAGCGACTTCTGGAAAAATAATGGAAAAAAAACAACATAATGCCAGAGGTCACAGACAATAAAAGGCAAAAACATCTCAAAGAACCTCCTGTTACAGCCACGGTGTTTGGAATCAAAAGCCAGACAGCCTTATTGTGCTGTGAATGCACAGTAAGGAACTTTAGAAAAGATGGGTCACAGTGGCAGAAGAGCAATAAGCTACACTTCAATTAAGTAACAATAGAAAACTGGGACGACAATTCAAAAAGGTTAAGTTGGACATCAAGAGATCAGAATAAAACATTTCCTGGTCACTTGAGTCTACAGTTCACTCATGACTTTCAGATAGTAATTTTTTGGCTGTTTAAAACCAATATTAATGGAATGCAGTATCTTAAACATTTCATAATCATTACATGAACTTTTTTTTTTCCACATCTACCAATAATAGAGGTTTATCTATAATAAACAAATAAATAACATAAGTTAAAGGTTAGGCTTTCATTATTTTTGCTCTACAATATTATGTTTATTGGGTGAAAAGGTTATTTAATGGTACATTTTCAACAGGGTAGTCGCTGCATAGCTCTGCTTGACACATATGTAGCGCTTTCTTTGCCACAGTCACACATCAGTGAGCACATCAGGGTCAATGTGGGTGCTGAAGCACAGTTTGACATGGGGATAAAACTCTCAATCTTAGTTAAATCTAGAAAAAAATGCCACTCTACCAACACTGAGGCTCAACTGTGACACAGCCCTGGGTTATGAATCTATAAATTTTGATTTCCAAGAGTCGTTACTTTAACTCTCCAAAGGTGCATCCACTCATTAAATAAAAATATTTGGGCTCTCCTGTCCCATCGCACTCTCTCCATGTGTGAATGGACATATCTTCAGCTGCAGGAAACTCCAAAAGCATCAAATTTCTTCTGCTCAGTTTACTCACAGCCCTTCATGGAATGTTGCTCTATTCTTTAACCAATGGACATACTGTAAATATTAGTTGATGTAATCAGAACATTTATTATGCCTTGTAGGTACAAAACATTTTTACAGTGCTCTTGTAAACATAAAGTAATTGATTCATCAATTACTTTTTAATCTAAAGGATTCTGACTGAGGAAGACAGAGCTTCCTGAGTAGACTTCTCGTTTGGTACCCTCTGCCTCTGGATCCACTACAATGCAGTTTAATGTGAAAGTGCTCTTGAGCAATATATCACACCTCGCAATTTTCAGTTTCCAATCTAAATTAATCTGTCAGCCAAATAACATAGCAAGTATATTTAAGGAATAAAAAGGTAGCACATCATAGCTCACATGAATAGTGGATGCTTGGATTCTTTACAAGGTCTCTGACTGAGTTAACCTGGAGTAACACATTGATGCTAACTATAGAAAGTGATAATTTTGTTTCTTTGAAGACGTGTTATCAGAAAAAAGTGTTTATTCACAGTTAGCAAACTGATGTTGGCTGCAGCTTGGTTCTTCTGTCTCTGCAAAACAGCCAGGAATACTCCTACACACTATTAACAATAATAGTGTGGACAGTTGTAGCAAGAAAAAGATAAAAAGAGAAATCAATATTTACTATCAATATTTATTTATTTATTTTACCATTTTATCTTGCTGTTAGACAGATGGCTTTACTGGAAATGCTGTCCTTGTGTCATTAAAGGCACCTGACTCTTTAAAAAAAAAAAAAAAAACATTAACTGTGCTGTCATTGTGCCTAACAGCATGTAGGAGATAATTGTCTACCACAGCATCGATCAATGTTTTAACATGTTTGTTTGTATCCCAGTCAAAGTGTCAAAACACTGAGGAGTCACAATGAATGCCAGCTTTACAAAGCTACATGTTAGCTGTGCCTCTGTGGTGGAGAGGAAGCTTTGCCAGCTATATAACTGATAATAGAACAATTGAGATGTAATTGACTGTGCTTGTCTTTTGTGCCATCAGGTGATACACCAGAAAAGTCAGTAGTGGTCAAAGTTAATGCCAGCATATTCTCAGTAAATTTGCTTGCATTCTCATTTTACAATTCCCACTGTGTTTCAGAGCAATAACTTAAGGTATGTGAGTACATTCAAATGAAAAAAAAGCATATGCGACTCTACAATAAAGACACATTTAATGACAATGTTACCTAGAAATTATTAAAACATAACATAGCAGTTAAATGTAATGTGCAGCCACGTTAATTTAGAGAAGAGAAATGTACAAGACATGTGTGAACATAAGTGCAACAAAAAAAAAAACAGACTATTTACAAGAAATGAACACCCTTCAATCACAAATAAGTGTAAATAACAAAATTATTGTTAGGCCTATTCATTTATAAGCCCACTTATGATCTATCTCCAACCTCTTCCTTAAACAACTCTTCATACAACTTTGCTCAACAAAAGTGAATATTCAAAACCAACTTTCTTACTTTTCCATTATGCAGCTTGTAAAACTGCATCATAGAAAAGAGCTGGGCAGAGTTTGTCACTCTGTACCCTGAAACAGACTTTAAAGAAACATTGATAGGTGGTACTGTAAATCTTTTGTCTTTAACAGGGTCTGAAGAAAGTATGTCAACTCTTAAACTAAGAATATATAATGTCTCCTTTAAACTGATGTCATCATCCAACATCCTGATGTTATCAGTCTGACCTTGAGGTGTGTCCAAGCTCATCATCATGAATCATTTAATACATCAAGTGTCCTAGGATTTAATGTAGATAAAGAGCTATGCAGCTGGCCGAGACTAATAAATCATATGAGGAAGGTATACTCAACTCTAATATCATGTTAATGAAATTCCTACAACCAAAACACCACCCACCATGGTTTCCATTTCCTGTGTCACCCTGCAACCTGATTCTGATTGGAGCTGGCAATTTCTACAAAAGGAAAAAGAAAATTACTATGGATTATTAATATTGAAAATGAAAATGTAAATAAATACATATATATTAAAATGTCATCCAAATGAAATCTGTTTACAAGTTACATGACAACATGTAACTTTATTTAGGGGACAGAACAAACATGTTGAAATTGCACAGTATCCTCAATACATCATACAGTTGTAGGAGCATCATGGGACAGGGCCTTCGGAGGGACTGGGAAATCGGTCAAAGCTTTTGGGAATATAGGTAAATATAGAATTAAATTCAAGAAAGTAGAGAAAAACTGTTAAAGGCTGCCAAACACCCGAGGTTGTGTTGAAAACTCACCTTCTATCAGTACAGTAACCCTAAAAGTTCTGCAAAAGCTACATTGAAATACTTTAAAATGTACTCTTATGGACTACTGGCCACATATTGCCAACAAATACATTGAACTGTATTGCTGTAGAAAAGAAAAGGTTCATGGAGTGTGATTCCAGAATATAAAGACATACATTAAAATGCCATGTTTTGCCAATGAAGTCGTCCAGATCTGGTTTAGAATCCAGCTGTTGAAAGAAATCATAAGTGTGCATAATAATCATGAAACTGAAACAAAGTACCTCATTAGTTTACAAGGAGCCTACAACAAAGAGAAAAACAGTTGAGAAATGGAGAATAAAGATCAAAGAAAACTAGCCAATGGCATCAAAGCTGGTGAGGCTGAGAAAAAGCCCCTTAACTTTCTCCCTCATTGCCACCTTATGCAGCAAATGCAGAAGCTATAACTGTGATCTGTAAATCCCAGTTACAATTAGTTCTATTTTGTGCTCATTTTTGCCTCTTCTACCCTTGTGCCTCCTCTGGCTTTTGTGAAAGGCAGAGATTTGGACCCTCTTTTCTCACATCCATCTTCATTTGGACCACAGGGAAGCATTTAGGATGAGCAACAGTCCGAAAATCACAGTGACCTTCTCAATGACTCATTTACTGCTGTTTTTATTGCAAGTTATGTTTAATTTCTGGTAAAAGTTTGAGTTGGAAAAAGAGTGGCAAATCCATCTTGCCTGGCAATAATTCTCACTTTGTGAAGCATAAAACATTTAATTCTTTTATCCACATAAAAAAGATTTTAGCACCATTTAGAAAAAAAATAATGAATTGACATTGGATTGAAACCAATTTGGAGAATAAAGGCTTTCAATAAAGGCAATGTTGCCTTGAAATCTACGCACTCCTCAGGATTTAATTAGGACTGTCTCTTATTAGGCTTATTAGTAGGAAACGCTTTCCAACAGTATGTTCCCTCTTCCTTCTGATCCCCTTTCCTTCTAACAAGCCCATATCTACTCACACCTTCTGTTATCTCACACATTTCCTGCTTCTTCTTGCAGTGCCTCTTTCTTTGTCTCTATAGCTCCAACAGATGTCCTAATGAAAACCACAGGAACAGAATGAAAGATACTAGTAGGGGGAATGCAGAGGTGGAAACAGGGAAAGGATGTCATAGAGCAGTTAGACCCAAGATACTAAAGGAGACAGATGAAGACGATGAAGGAGACAGAGAGCAAAGGGTATGTTGATCCAGAAAGGAAGGCAAGCAACTCTAAATTAGATGCTCTTGGAGACGAGACAGTAAATTAATTCCAAAGAGAATATTGCTTTGTAGCTTCTTCTTCCCTCCGTTCAGAGCATTGGGACACCAAGCAGAGTTATGTTGCCCTACCAGCCTTGTTCGTTTCTCTCGTCTGTTTTCTGTTAGTCCCAGGTGACGGATAGAGCTGGCATCAGCTCATGTTTTTCTCTCTTTGGCATTCCACTTAGGATTGTGCTTTTCCTGAAGCAAACATGTAGAATACTAACATTAGAGCTTCATTAG